GTCTTGACAGCATCCATAATTTATGCTTGTAATTATGCTTTTTTTTCAGCTGTAAACTCATATTGTTTCCTTACAGTCATGAAGTCACTATGCAGCAATGTCATTGTCACAAACTGATGGAACATAATGATGTGGATGGAAAAAATGCTGGACAGAGAATCATAGCATATTTAAAGGGGATCAGAAGAAAGTCTGTACAACAATATGATAAACATGTAAGATAAAATACATACACAATTAAAAGTTTATACATACTGTATTCTTTTCCCTTCCTCCTTTCCTTTCTTCCTTTCTTTCTTCCTCCCTCTCTCCCTTTCTTTTTTTCTTACTTTCTTTTTTTTTTCTTTTTCTTTTTCCTGTTGAGACCATGGATTCAAGGCCAGACCTTGAGCTACCAAACAAAGGTGATTTCATCTCATTTTAAGCCACCACTAGAAAAGGAGATTGCATGAGCTTTCTTGGTAAACCATTTGTAAACATATCAGTAAGATTTTTCTACTCATGGTGCATTTTCTTTTAGTGTGCTCCTTTTATTTTTATCTTGAATTGCTCATCTACTTCTGCCAGCTTTCATCTCTCAAATACCTTTTTCAAACTGCCACCTACTTTTAAAGTTTGTTTCATTTGCTTTCTATTTTATGTGTATGTGTGTTTTGCCTGCATATATTTGTCTGTGCACCACGGTGAGAACAGAGCCGAGGGAAGCCGGAAGGTGGCAGATCTCCTGGGACTGGAGTTACAGATAGTTGTGAGTTGCCATGTAAGTTCCGGAAACTGAACTTGGGTTCTCTGCAAGAGCAGCCAATGCTTTCAACCACTGAACCATCTATCCAGGCCCTGGCTACCTACACTTTATTGCTCTGATTTTTCATAATTTCACTCTAATTTATTTTTTACACTCTGGGAAAGATCTTAAAATGTAACCCACACCAATATTGTCATTGTTTAACATTTTCCAAATGTTTCATCTTGCCTTCAAAAAAAAAAATGTTTAGATATCTCTACATGACACAGAGACTTCCTTGTAATCTGACAACCATATGTCTCTGTTTTCTGTAAAATTCATTTTAATTCTTCTTAGTCTTTCTTTATACAAATAGTAATGACTGCCTTATCCTACACTCTGCTGAGGAATTTACAGCTTTTCAGTTTTACTGTGTTTGTTGAATTGATTTCTAATATCCCCTTTCTTAGCAATGCATCTTGTATTTTTCTGCCAAGAACCAGGAAGAAAGCACTGAATAAAACAAAAAAAATTCCTGTAGTGATGGAGCTTGCATTTTACTTTTCTTCCCACAGATTTAAAACAGTAGACTTTGAGCTTATGGCTTAAATATAGACTGTCTGGCATCATGAGGTGGGCCTTGTTTAATCAGGTCTAAGCCTTAAGCAAAGACCACTGAGCTTCTCTGAGAATGAGAGACCTCTGACCCCAAACTACTCTTTCCTGGGTTTACAACCTAAGGGTCCATTGTAGGGTTCAGAACTGTCAGTACCCACAATTATGTGATTCAACTACTTAAACTAAATTTCTCTGAACTCTCTCTCTCTCTCTGTCTCTCTCTGTCTCTCTCTCTCACACACACACACAAACACACACAGATATACAAACACATCCAGACACACAGACAAAAACACACAAACACACACATAGACACCCACACAAGCAAACACACAGACACACACTGATACACACACACAAACACACACACACAGACACGCAAACACAAACACAAAAACACAGAGAAATACACACATATATAAACACATAGACCCAGACATACAAACACACACATAGACATACACAGGCACACACACATTTTGTTGTTCCAGTCTTCCTTTGGAGAGCCTAATGAATACACCAAAATCTTTTCCATCTTTTTAAATACAGTCTGGACTACTGGGATTCACCATCCCACATCATTCATCTTTCCTCTCTCCTACCCACCTCTTTTTTTCTTTCAGGCTCTACAGAAGTCTTTGGGCTCTGCCATAGACCAAGATCATTTTCCTTGAAAGAGGTGGCAAAAAGGCAAATGGACAGAACTAGAAGAAACCATCCTAAGTGACGTAGCTCAGTCACAAAAAGACAAACACTGTATGTACTCACTCATATGTGGATTTTAGACATAGTGCAAAGGATCACCAGCCTACAATTCATACCACCAGAGAAGCTAGGAAACAAGGAGGACCCTAAGAGAGACATACATGGTCCCCCTGAGAAGGAGAAAGGGACAAGATCTCCTGAGCATATTGGGGAGCATGGGGGTGGGGGTGGGGAGAGGAAGATAGGAGAAAGAGGAGAGAAAAGGAGGGGAAAGGACATGAGGGAGCAGGAAGATTGAGTCAGGGAAAGAATAGAGGAGAGCAAGAAAAGAGATACCGTGACAGAGGGAGCCATTATAGGTTTAAGGAGAAATCTGATACTAGGAAAATGTCCAGTAACAGAAAGGAAGGAGTGATGCACAAAGGGGTCAAGGCCAAGCTGGAGAAACCCACAGAGACAGCTGGCCTGAAGAAGGGGGAGCTTATGGACCCCAGACTGATAGCTGGGAAAACAGCATAGGACCGGCCCAGACCCACTAAACCTATGTGTTCTATGAGTCTTTACACGATAAGCCCACCCAGTCCTACCACAGTTCTGGTATATAGAGAATTCTTTTCCCCTTTGACCCATCAGGAAACTGAAGCCCAAAGCTGCTAGATAACTGACCTAGCTGAAACACTCACACTGAAGGCAAAATTCAAATCCATGTCATTGTGGAAATGTCAAATGGCTTCTTGCAACTAATTCTTATGCCATCTTTCTTTCTCTCTTTTCCTTTTTTTTATTTAAATTTGAAACAAGCTTGTTTTACATGCCAATCCCAGTTCCCTCACTGCCTCCTCCTCTCTTGTTTCCCCAACCCCCATCCCATCCCCCTTTCTGTTCCCCAGGGAGGGTGAGGCCTTTAAGGGGATCTTCAAAGTCTGTCATATCATTGGAGCTGGGCCTAGGCCCTTCCCCATGTGTCTAGGCTGAGAGAGTGTCCTTCTATGTGGAATGGGCTCCCGGAATCCATTCATATACTAAGGATAAATAATGTTCCACTACCAGAGGCCCCATAAACTGCCCAGTCCTCCTAACTAACACCATATTCACAGAATCTGGGTTAGGCTCATAGAACACTGGCCACAGCTTAATTAGTGCTAAAAAATAAATGTTTGTGACACAAGTAATAATTTTATAGTTCCCATTTTAGGCTATTTACCCACAGCTGAAGACCAGCTGAAATCTGATAATAGGCACCTTATAGTGCATTCTCCAAACACTGGGAAAGAATAAAATTATTTATACTTCCCTGTCTATATCTATCATGTATTTTTTATCTTCAGAAGAGATGAAAAATACATAGATACAATGCAGGAATTAAAGGATATATAATCCAGATCAACAATCTGTAGACATTTTCTGTGATGGGCTAGACGTAAATATTTTGACTTTGTAAGCCATCCAATCTCTGTTGCAATCAAGACTATGGCAATGTCAAAGCAGCTACACAGACGGATATGACTGTATCCCAATAAAACTTTATGGAAGATTTTAATTGACACATAGTACTTGTTCATATTTATAGGACACAGTCAGATGGCTGATACATGGGCATGATATAGAATACTAAGCATATCCATCACTTTGAGTATTTGTTAATTCTTTCTCATGAGAATAGACAATCTGTTTTCAAGTTACTTGTACAAATATACGGCATGATGTTGAGGCACACCTGAGTGTGTTTCTTGTAACGTTAACTTTGTGTTTGAACCAGCTTTATCCATCCCCTCTTACCACATAGCCATCACAGACTCTGGTAAATACTACTTGACTCTTAACTTCCATGTTACCAGCCTTTTTAGAGTCTACAAGTGAATTCAATCCTGCATCATTTATTTGCCTTTCTGTTTGGGGCTTTTTTTTTTTTTCTCTCCCTACATTATGAGATCATCTCTTTTTCTTTTCTCTTTTTTCCATTTTGATGCATGTATTAGATGTATGTATATAACATGATTTTGCATGTTTAGGGGTGAAGTGTGTGTGTGTGTGTGTGTGTAGCCTGAGATTAATATGAGAAATCACCCTCATCACTTTTGTACCTTATTCGTTGAGGTCCGTTCACTCAATCAAACCCAGAGCTTGGGTATATGACTATTTTCTAGCCAGCGTGTTCTGAAGATCCCCCGATTCTCTTGTAAAGCTGGAATTATAAGAGACTCTCCACACCCATCCAATATTTATGTGTGCTTCTGAGGCTCTGAACTCAAGTACTCATATTTGTAGTGCAAGTACTTTAACCATTCAGCCATTCCCCGGCCCGATTTCATTCTTGTTTATGGCTAGTACTCTTCTTCGGGTACACGGCACATTTCTCTATCTGTTAATCTGTTGGTGGATATTTAAGTCAATGCCATATTCTGGCTATTATGATCACTAATGCAATGAATGGAGAATGTAAATATCTGTTAAACATACTGATTTCATTTCTTTTGCATACAGGCAAGAGGGGAGGGTTGTTGGACCATATAGTACTATTCCTTTTTGTGGGGGGCGTTCTCAACGTTATTATTTAGCATGCCTGTGCTAACTTACGTGCCTATCAACAGTGTGCAAGTTTCTCTTCTCACCCCTCAGCAGTACTTTCTATCACTGTTGTTTTGTATAATAGGCATTTTAACTGGAGTGAAAAGGGGGTTAAAGTGGGTTTATACAACATTTCTCCAATGATGACAGATTAGTAATGCTGACCATTTGCTCTATATGTGTTGATCAGTTACAGGTCTTCTTGATGATAACTATTAATAATATTTAATTAATCAATCAATCAATTTTGAGACAGGAATCTCTGTGTAGTCCTGGTTATCCTGGAACTCACTCTGTACATCAGGCTTGCCTGAAACTAGGAGATCCACCTGCCTCTATCTCTCAAGTGCTGGGATTAAAAGCATGCACCACCACTGCTGAACTTCTGAATATGGGATGATTTCTGAATTTGCATGTCATCCTCATGCAGAAGTCATGCTAATCTTTTTTGTATCATTCCAATTTTAGTATACATGCTGTCAAATTGAGCACACTTTTTTCCTGATAATGTGTTTTTATTTTGATAAGATCCCATAGTGTATTAGTTTCTTTTCTGTTGCTGTGATAGAACACTCGCACAAAGGTTACTTCAGAAATGGAGGGTTTACTTAAGTTTATCCCAAAAGGGGATCCAGTGTTTTTATTTTGATAAGATCCCATAGTGTATTAGTTTCTTTTCTGTTGCTATGATAGAACACTCGCACAAAGGTTACTTCAGAAATGGAGGGTTTACTTAAGTTTATCCCAAAAGGGGATCCAGTTCATCATGAAAGGGAAAAGAAGCAGGATCAGGTGACTAGTCCCACAGGCAGGAATAGAGACAGAGTAGCAAGTGGGTCAGCCTATAAAACCTCAAAGCCCACCGCCAATGACAACCATCCACCTCCTAAAAGGTTCAAGATCTTGCCAAACAGCAACACCATCTTGGGATCAAGTGTTCAAATATACAAGTCTACAAAGGCCATCTCATGTTAACCCTCAACATCCAGGGAAGAGGAGGAGTGTCACTATGAGTTTGAGAATGGTTGGAGCTTGGCTAGGATGGAGAAAGGCAGGTCACACTTATGGGGGGGGGGTGTCACTGTGGGCCAAGAGCCATCTGCCTAGATTAGGTACAAATTAAGGGCCAAGTAAGTCTTTGTTAAATGAGAAAATGATCGAGTCATGCTACCACAGTACTTTTCAAATAAGTAAAGAAATCTGCACTGGAGGAGCATGCTTTGTTGTTCTTATTACACTCTAAGCTGTTGGGTGCTATGGTCTGAAACATGTATTTAAGATTATTTACGTGTCTTTCCTGATTACTATACATTGTCTTTCTTTAAATTGTTTCTCTGTCTTTTGGCCTTTCTGAGCAAGTGAATTAGAACACCAAAATGTTCACTGTCCACCTCTTTACTTCCTAGGTTTGTCTAGTGAGTTCTATATTGGATTTGTTGTTATCAAGAAACATAGGTGTTCAGCTTGCTTGGTGGAGGAGACATTTATGCGAACACATTGCTCCCAGCTTAGGAAGTCTATTTCAGACCTGGCTATAAAGGTTATGAATATTCTGCGAACACAGGATTTTGGAAAATTTCCAGAACCATCAAACACTGAAACGATGCTGACTTCAATTGTTTTACTCACAGGGTGCCTCCTAATGACCTGGACAATAATCCTACTTCACTTTGTGACTACTGACTGATGCCACATGGGTGTGGTAATGAAGCCATCTTTGAATATGTTGGAAAAATGAAATTGGTGTTTAAGTGATCACAATCTTTCCTAAATATGCTCAGATTTAAAGCATGAATATTATTTAAATGAGCAATTATATAGTTACTTCCTCAAATACAACTTAAATTGTATCAGAAGATGCATTGCTGAACAAAAAATTACATATATAATATGACTATCATGGACAATGGTATTTTAGAAGCAAGTCTCCAGTACCATTAAAGAGAACAACTGAGACCCCTCCCAGCACATTGGACAGTCTAGAAAGCCTAACACATTCATTCCACTTGTGTCTGAAGTTAACACGACACACCTGTAGAGAATAGGGATATTCTGGTAGACAGTAATGAGAGCTAATTTTAATGTGGGTTTCCATTTTTAAAAAATCCTCATAATCTGTTTTATATATAGGTAAATACCTTTCCCTTCTATTGGTTATAGGCATTTCTTATAATAGAGAAATGTAATTGTAGCTTGCAAGTAGCATTGCAAAAGAAATAAATATAAAGTCCCTCACAGAAGGGGGAAGGGACAAGTCCCACAGAGCACAGGGGAAGTGGGGGGTCAGTGAATGGAGAGAGCAGTAGGAGAAAGAGAGGGGGAGGAGAGGAAAGCACGTGCGACTAGGAAGATTGAGTCAGGGTAGGAATAGGAGACAGAACAGAGAGGGAGGGGGGGAGAGAGAACATAAAAGAGGGAGCCATTATTGGTTTTAAGAGAAAACTGAACCTAAAGAAAGGTCTAGAGACCTACAAGGCTGCCGCCAACTAACAATTTGAGCAACCATGGAATGGCTACCATAAATGCCCTTCCTGGATAGTGAGATCAACAACTAACTTATCCATGGAGCCCTCATCTAATACCTAAACACTGAGTCAAACTAGAATCCAGATGCAGAGGGAGAGGACAAGACCAGGTTGCAGAAATACATAAGAGACAGCTTACCTGAACAAGAAGGAACTAACGGGCCCCCCCAGACTGATAGCTGGGAATCCAGCATGGGACTGACTCAGACCCCCCTGAATAAGGGTCTCAGCCAGAAGGACTGAGCAGTCTTAGGGACCTCAGACAGTGGAACCAGGATGTATCCCTGGTGCACAAAAGGACCTTGTGGACACATCCCCCATGGAGGGATAACTGCCTTCACCTAGAGACAGGAGAGAAGTCCTAGTCCCTACTTCAAATGACTTGACAGATTTACATGACCCCACCTGGATGGCATTCCCCTACATGTGGAATTGGGGTGGGGGGATGGGAGGGATGAGTGGTCAGGGTGCATGTGAGGGGGCAGAGAGGGTAAGAGGGAGAGAGGGAGGGAGCGGGAACTGGGATCAACATGTAAAATAATAAATTAAATAAAAAAGAAATAAATATCTTTTTTGAATAGCAACTATCAAATTTCTACAACTCAGATAAGTGTTTTTTGTTTTTTTTTCGTATCCCACTTGCTCAACCACCCAGGCTGAGATGAATTATAATTCCTCTTGAAGTTTCCCATAAAGAGAATCAAAGCTCTTTGTCTATGAATTCCACAATATCCTTTGACTAAAGTCATTTTATTATATATCCTAGAATACTAATAATTTTTATCTTGTTTATAAAAATGAAATGAGGGAAGACTCTAGTAAGCACCTGCCCATCTTTCTTTGTTTAAACACAAAAGTACCACGTGGAAAGCTATTTCTAATCTGACTTACTTTTAAAGTGCCCTGTACGTATGCCAGTTTTCCCGCATGTTTTGACAAATGACACATTTCCTTTGGTGCTTCCTTGTGGGTAACAGCGTGTGAGGATGTGGTGTTGGAAAAATTTATTACAGTTATTTTGTAGTTGATATTAAAAAATGTGATGTATTATACCAGGTGTCTGACCTTTAAAGATCTTAGGACCTAATTCATTACAACATAAAATTTACATATTATTCAAGTTTGCTGCAGAGCTCTTAGGAACAAGTCATGGTGTGTGTCAGGACAGAGGGGAAAAAAAAAGCTACGTTCATGCAAGAACTGGGGACTAGACTTGGCGTGTGCATGTGTGTTCTGGCTTCTGTGACTTAGAGCAGAGGAGCTGTGTGATCGTCTAAGTAAAGAAAGGTGTAGGGAAACCTGGTATAGCAAAAATGTCGTGGATTCATGGGGAACACCTTTTCAGTGACTCCCATTGAGTCTGCCTTCAGGACCGGGCAATGAAAAGTATACCTAAGAGAGAATGAGTAACCATGTGGTCCCACAGAGTAGCTTTAAGGGACTGAACCTGATGCAGCCAGCAAAACAACATCTAAAGGTTTTTATATCTGACTTAGCATTTATGATAAGAAGTCAAAAGTGAAAACTTGTTAGGAAACAAAAATCCCAGGTTAAAAAAATGTATTTGAAATCGGGCGCGTGTAACAGTTTTTCAAAAGAATGAGAATGGGAATCATATTACAGCAAGTTAGATTAGGTGCCCCTGAAAATTAGATTATGCTACTTGAATTCTCTTAATTATTTTTAATGTTTCCTCTAATGAAAACGAGAATATCACTTTATCATAATACATACTTGCATTGTTTGTGTTTCCAATCAAACATATACCTATTAAATTGAAAACCATACTTTTAATAAGTGCATGTAGAATTTCCTATAGAATAACAGCAAGTGCTCATTTGTAAAATCATGGTCTTCATGGCTTCCTATCTCTCAAGGCTCCCAAATCTTAATTGATAATACTATCTTGTAGGAGGTTGATGAAATGACATCTCCCATACTATCTTTCCCTGAGAAGGTTCCAATATTATGGCAGAAAAATAACTTCAAATCTTTCTTTCTATAGAGATTATAAAATAATTTGAGTTAATGCAGACGGACTATTCATGTCAATACAAGTCAAACACTGTTTAAAGATTCAGTTTGCTATCACAGATAATGTTTCTTTATTCTGCAGTTTAATTAGTGAGGAGGAAGCATTTCATCTCAAATGCTGATTTTTCTAAATTACTTTGCTGCAAGGTATAGAAATATGCTTAAAATTTCTTTTTTGGGTATGTGCTGATTTTTAGCAAGTGTGTGGAGGCCATTAAAACAAGACAAAATGGAAAAGGCCATAATTATCCTCCGAGTGAGTTGCTTTTGGCAAACCCAAGCCAATCCCATGCGTTAAAAGGCAAGGTGAGAAGTGTTGTGTTTTTGCAGTAGAGGGAGCTGTCTTCTAGCGCTAGCAAAAAGAGAAGGTCACTCCGTCTATTGATAAATCACACTGCCGTGATTCCTAACTGACAGCTCAAACTAACATCAAGCTGGATGAGGGAGAACAAAAGGCCATCAAGCAGCCATTTTCTTGACACTTTTATTCAATCACCAGCAGATTGCTTACGACAGCAATAGCAGCTGTTTTGTCTTCATCTTTCCACATTTGATAAAAGGTGTCAACTCAAATTTTTGTAAATAATTCACTTACCCCTACTGCACACACCAGCACTGTTCAGCATATGTATTTTGTGGGAGCAGATCACTGAGGCAGGTCAGAGCTCAGTGATATCAGCTGAAGGTCGTCTGTGATCTTAAAAGACATCTCGATAAAGCCATCCTGTCCTTCAAGGTCAGAGATAAGACTATGCGTAGATATTTGTGATGGGAACAAAAGGTTACACAGTAAGGAGAAAAATATATGAAAATGTTTCCTTCAATATAAGACTCACTCTCTTTGTTTAAAAAATCTCACTTCCAGCTATTTGGTCAGTTATCAGTGTAGGGTATTTGTAAACCCACTGAAGAGATTAAAAATCTAAATTGCTC